TTGGGAGAATATGTAGTTGAAATGAGTTTGAAAAAAAAAAAAAAAAAAGAATTTTTAGGTAATGGGGCTCAAACAGAGCTTAAATTTAAATGAACGTTCTGCAATCAATATCCCTTTTGGTTTTTCAGAATGTTGGACTCGTTCTATTGATTTCTAATGCAGATTCTTTCCGACACTTGCTCGTAATAAAATTTGAGGAAGCACGAATACTTCTAGTGAAGTAATGTGTCCGTGTCGAACATGTCTTCTGTTACGTCGGAAACCAGTATTCCTTGGAAACTCCACATGCTGTGCCCTATTGTTTATAACTTTTTAAAATTTCTAACACCCAGGGGATATTTTGTGGACATTTCTTCTGCAGCTATTTGACATAGAATGTGCTGTGTCCCACATTAAAAGGTATAAAAATAAAGATAGGAAATATAAATTTCAAAATTGGAAGAATTAAAATCAACTTGTTCCTGATGTTTGTATTCTACTTTTTAAAAATTACTTGGTGTCATGTCTGCATCATGTTGTGTCCGTGTCCGTGCTTCCTAGTTTAGTTTGAGTTTCTCAGATAGGATTGCAAATCTAATGGATTTTTCTATTTTGGCTTGTAACTTGTTTTTGTTTGGCTCTATTTCAATGAATATTGCGCATGGATCCTCTTAAAAAGTGCAGCATTGTCACAATAGTAATATTGAGAAAGGTCCCTGTTGATATTCACAGTTATTGAAAGAAATGGAAGGAAAACCAAATAGATCAGATGCTATCGGAAACAAAACTTCCTTATCAAAGAAAACATCCAAAAGGGTTTGGGATTCTATAGCAGCTTATACCGTTCAGTGTGAAAAATGTTCTAAATGGAGGTTCATTCCCACAAAAGAGAAGTACGAGGAGATACGAGAGAGGCTAGCAGAACAACCTTTCTTTTGTGAAACAGCACGTGAATGGCATCCTGACTTGAGTTGTGATGATGAACCAGATGTTGTACGAGATGGAAGCTGGCGTTGGGCAATAGACAAGCCCAGTATTCCTCAATGTCCTCCTGGTTGGCAACGGATTTTACGAATCAGAGCTAAAGGAGGCACTAAATTTGCTGATGTGTATGTCTATGATGTCATTTATTGTTTGTTACTTCATTTACAATTACTTTAAAAGTTTTGAGCAATGGAAACGTCATTCCGACTTCAATTGGGTCACGTCATGTTTCTTAATAGGTATTATGTAACACCATCAAGCAAGCGATTACGATCAATGATGGAAGTTCAGAGGTACAATTCTTGATTGTCATCTCAACTGCTTATTTATACCCTAATTTTAAATGAATAAACAACTGCCAGAGGATCTGGATTTTAGATTTTAGAATCTTTTATTTGCTTTTATTTATTTTAAAGTTTTTGAGATGTTTTTTCTTCAGTTACCTGAACGAACATCCAGAACTCCCAGGCTTAACAGCTTCTCAGTTCTCATTTCAAATCCCTTCACCTTTGGAGGAAAATTATGTACGGAAGCGTCATGCTCGTTCTGTTACTTTGCATGACATGAGTGACACTGTGATGCCAGGTTTGACATTTGATCCTGAAGTAATAAGATTTCTAACTAAATGCATCTTTGCTTTGATAACATATTTTGTTATTTATTTCTCAGCCGCAATTTGTTTCTACTTATTCAGATTCTATTCAGGCTTGATAGGATTAATTTTATGTTGCAGTCAATCCCACATCTTGGGTAGTTTCAGACCAGAAGAGAGATTCGCACTTGGTAGGGGAGGAGGGCTCAACTTCATATGTTGAGGCTCCTGCTCAAAGTTGAGGTATTTTTGTTTCATTTACCAAAATGTCTAAATTTTAACTATTGCCCAGTGACAAATGATGTTCCCCTTCACTTCAGTAAGTCTAAAGAAACTAAGAAAGTGTGTGAGGTGAAACTTGAAGTGTTGTCTCAAATTTTAGGAGTAACTTGTTGTCTATTAATCACTCGCGCCATTCCATTTTGCATTTAGAATTGGAATTGGCATCTTACGGAATTCTTTGTAATTAATTCACCACGCACTTTATTTCTTTCGAAAGTTTATATTAATTTTCCAGTTTTCTGTATTATTTCTTCAAATATGAAAATATCTGCCAGAATAATCAATGAGTTTTTTAGTTTGCACCATCAGATTGTGCTTAGATTAAAAAGTTCTAATTTTTTGCTCATACATGTTTAATTAGCGAAAACTTATCTATATTGTATACCAAAATACATGAGAAAGTATAAACTAAAGGAAATTAATTATTAGAGCTATAAAGGAGAACGCAGGCCAAATTTTATTTTACAACAGCAACAGTGATTTTGGCCTAGAAGTGGTTTTATTGATATTATCTTCATTATTTCTACTTATTGGTGGAATCTAATTGGTATAGCGTGACCAGGACATGACTTCCTATGGATTTCCAATAATCTACCTTGGGTGG